GCAAAGTCGTCGTTGCCCTTGGCCATAGCACCTACGAAGACTGCGATACTCTCGCCCTTGTTGAGATCGCCAATGTAATCGCTGACACGTACGACCTCGGAGTCGAAGCTGAGCGTGACCTTGCGGCAGTTGGGAGGGAGGTGATCGGTGATGGGGTTCTTGATGACCTCGATGAGCTTTTCTTGCGACGACGTCGACCGGATCTGGTGTCGGTGCAGGAGTTGGACCATGAGTCCGGCGAAGCGCTTGAAGGTACGGGGAATGCGCACTGTAGGGCTGACCCTGATGAGCACGTTCTTGGAGGTGTGGATGTAGATTTGGAGCTTGCCCGCCTTGTTGATTGGCGAGTCGAGTAATGTGAGCAGACACTGTGGCGCCACGTTAGCTGAGGGACCTGGCTAACCTCCTCTTGTACGCACTTGGTGGGTGATGTCGGGCCTGGCTTCGCTTATGTCGCGCCCCATCTTGCGCATTACGCCAATGTGGTCGTCACTGTTGAGCAGGTTGTACTTGTCCTCGCGCGCACCGGGGCCGCGGCCAGTGCCATGCGACGCCTTGTACGTCTCCAGCGTCGCATTGCACAGAACGACGATCAGGCGCTGTGTGTCTTTGTCGTTGGTCGGGATGGGGGCATGCTGCTCGGCCACTAGCTTGGGCAGCTCTGGCGGAGGCATTGACTGTGTTCCTGTGCGCAGTAGCGTAGCGTCAGCGTTGTCCGTGGTTAATATCGAGGAAGCAGCAACCGGACATACTTGCGCGCTTCTTGCCCCGCTCGGCGGAGTCTCGGGAGACAGGTCGTTCGGTGGGCGAGTTGGAGTCTTCGGGTTTAAGGAGGGGAGCCATTGTGACGAGAGAATACGCAAACACTGCGGAATGAGCTTGTGTATGTCTGTGTGACCTTTGGCGCAACGAGATTGGTTCTGGGCGTGGAAAGTGAGAATGAGATGTCGCTTCTCCAGGTACCTAAGGTCAGCAGCGAATGCACTTACAAAACAACTTCAATGAGTATTTTGGTCAGGTGAAAAAGGGTGGATATGCAGTAAGCTCGAGAGATGGCTGGGAACCATGCGGCCTATTTGTGCGAACTGTCGGTGAAAAGAGCGTTTTTCCTGCGTCCAATCACAGCCGAGCGGGCGGCACGATTACGTGAGACCACCAGCAATCAGATGAGTTGGTCCTCACCACCAACGAGCCATCGCAGCACTGCGCGCAGTACAACAACAAGATATCATGGCGCGGTGTTGGTAGCACGCAGCAGTCAGCTTACTGAGTCGTCCGGCAGTTGCGACGTGGTCGGCCATTGTGGCCACCCTGCTTGACTCGCCGTCACTTCTGTCGTGGGTGGATACCTGGGTACCTATGCTTCGGGACATTCGGGGGAATGCGGTGTACAGCCAGTAGAGCGAGGACCGAGAACGCAGGAGTATCCGAGGATGCGCACCCAACCCGGCACCAGCTGCAACTTACATCAAAACGCCCTGCAGGGCTCCATGCCCGAGCGAGCTCCTAGGCCGGGCGCCGGAACCTCTGCAACGAAAGCGTCTCACCATGGTCTCTTGGCCCGCCTTGCATTTGAAACAATCACCATATCATACAGTCGCCTTACGTCCAACATGGCTCTACACGCCGTGTGTATGGCCTTTTCTGTAAACATCATGCGATCTGCCAAGGATACTAAGAGGTCAGGTCATGCGCGAAACGAGTCTGGTTTGGCCGTCGCGCTGCCGCTTGAGCGGCTCTGCGGTGGAGATACATGAACGCTAAGTGCCGCATTTTGCGCATTTCTGTAGCTGCCATTGAACATCGCGTTTCCTTTCCTTACTTCGATTCTTCATCATCGCTGGCGATATCTTTATACATTCGTTTTAGTGGCAGCCGGCTGTCTGAACCTTGATCGTCATAGCAAGCTCGTCCTCACCCCGACAGAACGAATACTATCCCAGGGACTTCCCAAAGTTCAACGGACGCAACCAACAAATACACCATGGCTTTCGAATGGCTTGCACCAATCCTCACCCCTGCGGCCCTGCGCTCGGTACAAAACGACGGCCGGCCAGTCATCACCCTCTTCCTCGTCATCTTCGGCCTATCAGTCTTCGGTACCCTGATATGGTACGTCCACTTCGTCACATCTAAGATGTACCCGAAAAAGAAGGATCCGAATGCAAAGAAGGGCCCGTTGCTTGGCTTCATCAAGCGGTGATCTTGGAAAGAGAGCGGAAGAAGGATGCTGGGCTCGACGTAAAACGGGCGGGAAATGGCCATGTAAAACTCTACAGCTGTTGGGATGATGACTACGCCCATACTGTATCGACAAGTCGAATCTCCGTCGAGCCTAAATCAACATCCTCGGCCTACACCAACCTCTCTTCGACAGGACACCTGGACCCGAATCTTGCTGGAGCATTGGAGCGCGTATCAAACTATTCCCCTCGTTGCATAGGCTGGAGACAGATTACCTACAAGTACATGATGCTCTCGTCGCGGAGCTAACGACTTGCTGTACTTTCATATTCAATACATAATTCATACCCTTCACATGACCTCTTTCATCGTACGCCAAAGATCATTTTGCTTCCGCGATAACCATGTAACATCTGCTACAAAGTCTTCACAAATGCTTGCTACAGGCTGCACAGTCTCCTCCGAAGCTTATCGGCACTCGTGAGATTTATCGGTAGTAACGAACCGATGACGTATGGTCTTATCCACTCTGTTTACGATAACGTAGCAATTTAGAGTACAGTTCGCCACATCAAATTTATCGACTCATCATTTCTTATGTCACTAGATATGTGGGTGCATCGGTGTGCTATAAGATCTGATGGAAAGCTCACACTCCAGCTTCCTCTACAGACCACGTCTTGAGAAGTTGCCATCATGTCTGCTCCATCGAACCCAACAACGTTTCCTCTACAGGGTAAAGTCGCCATCGTCACAGGCGCTTCGCGAGGGATTGGGGCTGGCTTGGCGTTAGAGCTGGCGCGAAGGGGAGCAAAGGTCAGTCCAACGACTTCGAACCAAGTCAATCAAGACACTCATATGTGGAGTAGGTCACTCTCGTCTACACATCGCCAAAGAGTGGAGAGCTAGCGGAAGAGGTTGCATCGAAGATCGAATCACTTGGCAATGGTAGCGCATCGAGAATTGTTCAGGCGGACCTTAGACAACTCGATGCGCTTGAAAAGATTGTGTCAGCGACCAGGGAGGCGTTCGGTGACAAGATCGACATCTTGATCAACAACGCTGGTGTTTTGATGAACAGATCCATCACGGAGACAACAGCAGAAGACTACGCCGCCATATTCGACGTCAACGTTCGCGCGCCTCTTCTGCTGACCAAAGCAGTTGTTCCACATCTACGAGCACCAGGCCGCATCATAAACATGTCGTCCATAGGCGCCCGACTAGGTTTCGCGAACCTAACTCTCTACACCGCATCCAAGGCAGCGATAGAAGGCGTAACTCGGAGTCTGGCACAAGAGCTAGGCGCTGCAGGACACACCGTCAACGCGGTTGCACCTGGCCCCACCGAATCAGAGATGCTGGACGATGTGCCAAAGGACATCGTAGAGGCCCAGTTGAAGCAAACTGCTGTTGAGAACAGGGTAGGGACTGTGGACGACATCGCGAGAATCGTGGCCTGGCTTTGTGGCGACGACGCGAAATGGGTTTCGGGTCAGGCGATATCCGCATCTGGTGGTTTCCTGAAGCTGTAGTGGATTCTGTCATTGTTTTAGCACCAAAGCTTCTTGTTTGATATGGAAGCGTCAGGTGGAGCTCGGCCACGGTGTTTTGGTTCCAAGACCGGAGATGTTTGGACGGGAATAGATCGGATTTAGCAGCTACGCACCGTTCAAACATGCAGCTATGCAGAATACCACCGACCGAGTACGATTTCCGATCAGAAGTCGATGACGCCACAGCCTTTGGATCGTCGACATGTGAAGAACTGTGCGTGTATGCAGAGCGATCGTCATATGGGAGCAGTCGAATAAATTGCAATCATGAGACTGGACGTGACCGGTCGTGGAACCCATCCCAAGCTTCAGCCAAGGCGTGCGAACACCAAGCGCATCCGCCCCTTACAGCTGTCACTTTCAGCCATGCCGCGAGAGCATCGTGTACCATCGAAGCTTGTAACCAGGTCCACATGGCAAGGCGGTCGAAAGTCGGAGCATGGCGATGGAGTCAAGGCCACCATCGGCAGTTGAGGCTCAACCCACCGACTACCTAGGCAGGGGCGAGGTGCCCAGGGAGGCGCCCCATTCTAACGCACTAGGTTTTAGCCTCCCACGTCCCAAACACCTCTCAAACGCCTCGCTCTGCCATTTCGCATGCCGAAGACTAAAGCGCATGGCCATTCATGTTTCAGGACTCCATCTTGGCATGCGTCTAGCCCTAGCCACGCCATTTGGCGTCCCTAATTGGTCATGATCCCGTTGCGATACGCGCTGGTAGACGGCGGAGCTTGCTGTGTCGCAGCTCGCAGTGCAAAGCCATGGAAGATGGTTCGACTTCTGCTACCGTTTCGCTCTTTGGGCCCTGGATTGCTCATCTTCCAAGCCATCTGACGAACTGATACCCTTGATCCACTTCGCTAATGGCAGAGCGGACCTGACTTGTCCTGCCCCCCGTCGTAGCCGCTTTTCTCTCTGTTCGCCGCCTTGCAACGTTGGCTTATAGGCTTTTGTTTCCCCTACTCACCCCAAGACTCGACCGATTTCATGCCGGTGCCTCTTTAGCCGGGTGACTGAACGCCTCTTCCTGTACCTTTTCTCTTCTTTTGTGCGGGCACTTTTAGTAAGTCAATCCATTCTTTCACGTGGCTTCCTGTACCATGGCGTCGTCGTCCCTGGTGGCTTTGATCTAACCTTTGTACAGATTACTTAGACACTCTTTGAACTCATTGCTACTTCGGCCACATTCAGCAGGTCTGAAGATCATCGGCATCCACAACACGCACTCAATCGCTGCTACGTTCGCTTCTTCTGTCAACTATGTCGTACACCACCAGTCTCACAGGTCGTGAGCGGTCACGATGGCCGCCGCTGACGCGCATGCTCATGTCCGGAGAGATGTCGGACCAAAAAGCGCGAGAGTTGACCCGGAAAGAGAAATTTGATGTGTGGATGGTCAATGAGGGTTACCGAAGATTGTACGTTGCACTACACCGTGTGTGAAGAGCCTCGACTAACGTATCTAGTTTTGTTTTTACATTTGCGATATTGCACGTCATGGTCTTCGTCTTTGGTATGATGAACTATGGGCTAAAGGTATGAATGGATAGCTCAGATTACGACGAATACCGCTCACACGTCCTAGGACAACTCCATTGGTTCAAGACAAACCTTTGGTCTGACCTTCCCCATTGCTCGTTCAGCCGCTCTCGTATTGCACGTCGACGTTGCCTTCATCCTTTTCCCGGTATGCAGGAACTTAATCTCCATGGCTCGTCGTACGCCGTTGAACGACGTTATTCCTTTCGACAAGAACATCACCTTCCACAAGCTGGTCGCCTGGTCTATCGTCTTCTTCTCGTGGGTCCACACTATCGCCCATTGGAACAACCTTGCCAAGTTTTCGGCTTCCAATAACCTGGGATTCATGGGCTTTATCCTTGCCAACCTTGCAACTGGACCTGGATGGAGTGGTTACGTTATGCTGACTGCGCTCATGGCGATCGCTGTCACGGCTGCGGAGAAGGCTCGTCGCGCCAACTTCGAACGTTTCTGGTACATGCACCATCTGTTCATCGTCTTCTTCATCTTCTGGTCCATTCACGGAGCCTTCTGCATGATTCAGCCCGACTTTGCGCCCTTCTGCGACGGTATCGGTGTCTTCTGGGAGTACTGGATGTATGGTGGATTTGCGTACCTGGCCGAGCGAATCGCCCGTGAAGTACGAGGACGACACAAGACGTATATCTCCAAGGTCATCCAGCACCCCAGCAACGTTTGCGAAGTTCAGATCAAGAAGGAGCACACCAAGACCCGTGCTGGACAGTACATCTTCTTGTGCTGCCCTGAGATCTCCATCTGGCAATACCATCCCTTCACGCTTACCAGCGCACCCGAGGAAGACTACATCTCGGTGCACATTCGTATGGTCGGTAACTTCACCAAGGCTTTCGGACAGGCGCTTGGCTGCAACACAGACAAGAAGCCAGCCGGCGAGAAGGGTGAGAAGGGTGGGTCCAGCGAAGAGATCGCCTTGCGTCAAATTCTTCCCCGAGTCTACATTGATGGTCCTTTCGGTTCGGCCTCTGAGGATGTATTCAAGTTCGAAGTCGCCGTTCTCTGTGGTGCCGGTATCGGTGTCACACCTTTCGCGTCCATTCTTAAGAGTATCTGGTACCGCATGAACTACCCTCAAGGATCCCGTACGAGACTGAGGAAGGTCTACTTCTTCTGGATCTGCAGAGACTTCGGATCTTTCGAATGGTTCAGATCGTTGCTGCTGGCTATCGAGGCGCAAGATATCGATGATCACATCGAGATCCACACCGTAAGTTTTATGTCTATAACTGGCTCTTGACGATCTACTAACCTTCTTCACAGTACCTCACAGCAAAGATCAAGGCAGACGACGCGACAAACATCATGATCAACGACGCAAATGCAGAGCAAGACGCCATCACCGGTCTCCGCGCGCCCACAAACTTCGGTCGCCCTAACTGGGACATGATCTTCAAGTCCATCCGCAAGATTCACTCACCCGCCGAAGCCGGTGTCTTCTTCTGTGGACCCAAGGGTCTTGGTTCAACGCTCCACGTCAAGTGCAACATGTATTCTGAGCCCGGCTTCAGTTATGTGTGGGGCAAAGAGAACTTCTAGACGCAGTCGTGGAGTTATGATAAGGAACGCGGAGAAAAAGATGAGAAGTATACCATTTGCTATATTGAGCGAATTGTCACTTATTACATGGTTGTATATAATTCGCTCCTCTTTTTGGTTGTTGTTGTTGGTTAATCTTGAAAGCTGCAAGCGGCTAAAGACACATGTTCAACGTCTACGATATCCCATAGAATTCTTAATGATGCAATTCGAATACCAAATGTCAGCATCCGCAACATCCCATGTCGATCTACCTGTCCAGACTTGCCAATTCCAAGATCAGCCTAATTAGCCTGGTTCCCTCAGATTTCAGGCAGCCGTTGATCCCAAGTACCAGTATCACGCCACTGTCGTTCATGCATCCAAGCCACTCAAACACTCCGAAACCCTGCGTGCCGCATCGCAAGATGAACCGCTCCTCGCCACGGGTAACGGCAATGCTCGGACTCCGCGGGATCTACGCTTGTTACCGAGCGATGGGGTTGGGTGGTCCTTGTCAGGACGCGGTGGCCATGGGTGGGCCGCGGACAGTGTGACGCAAATTCGGGAGAGGAGACGGTGGTCAAGCTTTTGGTGTCTCGGGAGCCAAGAGCTTGGTGTCGGAGCATGTGAATGATTGCAAATACGACGATCGATGGAGGGTGAACCCTATAGTTTGCTTACGATGAATTGGTCATCGTGATACTTCGGTGTGTTCTACATTCCTTTTTTCCATCCCTTCGCTGACCAATCGTTGATCTCTACCAACCCTTCTATCTCCCTCACTCCGGGCTTGATACCCTCGCCAACACTGGTGTCATGGGCTCCAATGACCCACACGTTGTCTTTTCGCGCGAAACTTCTTGTGCGCAGCATTGTATTCACTGCCTGTTCTGGGTCGGCGTGCATGCCTGACTTCGCATATGGTGGTCTCGCAGTGCGTTTGGGCTCTTTGAGAACGTCGAGATGGTGGTAGCAGTCACCAGCCAGCAGTACAAACGTGTTCTCGTTCTCGGTCGAGCCCGATGTCGTTCGCACTAGCATCATTTGATGGCCCGGAGAGTGTCCTGGCGCATCCACGATGTATGCTGAGCCGTCACCGAAGACGTCGTAGGCGCGATCAAATGCACCGAGACCCATCCATTCGGGCTTCTTTAGATCAACAGCGGCATACTTTCCCTTGACCATGCCTTCCATGACCTGACCTGCCCTCTTATCTCCTGCTTCTCTCAAGATATCATCTGGCACATAGCTCTCTACAATCTTTCTGCTACCATCAACCGGCAAAGTCTCGCTAAGCGTAGGAGCCTTCTCATCAACCGGATAACCCGGTCTCGCGTAGGTACAGCAGGTCGGCCCAACCCACAACTCCGCCTCTTCAAATCCAGCTTTGGCTCCATCGCCAACATGATCAAAGTGCATGTGCGAGAAGATAACGGCCTTGACTTTCTCGGGCTGTTGATCAGGTGATCCGTGCTCTTGCAGTATCTCTGCGGGAGACTTCGGTTCGCACTTGAAGTTTGGTAGAGCGCCTTCGACGAGAAGTGGCGGAAGGTTCTCCAGATCTTTTCGCATGCCTAGGTCGAAAATGTACTTATTCCCGGTGGCTGTGTGCTCGATGAGGAACACGTAGTCTGGAGCATAGAACGACTTGCGTTTTCCGTTCTCGTCTTTAGAGTCGTTCGGGTCTTGCGGCTTGTCCGGACCGGGAAGCAAGACCATGTCTGTAGGGATGTGGATGCCGCCGGCCTGAATGAGGTGAACTTTGCATGTTGCGGTGGATGACGGTATGGAATGCCATGGTAATTGATTTGATGACTCGGACATGATTGTGCTAGATACGGATTGCTATCGGGATGGGAGCGTGCTGTTGAAATGGGTACGTTCAAAGAGTCTGTTTAGTTACTGACCTTAGCATGACATGCCCTTGTATCGATGACGTCAATCAAATCCATTTCCACTATTGTACCGTGTATTGCGTACAAGCCCGCTCAGATTCCAGCTGAAGCTTGAGAGTGGCAAGCTATAACCTATATCTCGTAAGCATACATGCGAAAGTATCCTGCTTGATTGCTGCATCTCGAGATCATGTCGGCGCCCGCGCACACATCCATCTTGTGGTGGGGTTCGAATCAAACTCGCGTGAGCGCCGACTTGTCTTGCTCTTCGGAAGATTGTATCGTCTTATATGCCGAAACTTTTACACCTAGGCATTCCCCTCACAGAGTAACAGAAGTGCGACCTTGGGAGGGTGCGGAAGGGCCTCTTGCCGAATGCGGATTAAAATGACGCGCTAGCGACGCGAGCAATCAGGCGCGTCTACCAGCTCCTTCTCATCTTCCCTTAGCACTTTTCCTCTCACCTCATCTCGCAACGCAACGCAAGCGATCACGGCAGCAGGTCATGCGAGGTTATTCTAGGCATACGAACCCACTCAGTGGAACTTGATCACTCACACTAATCATGACTAACTCATCTACGTTACCTGACCCAGATCCGCAAAGGTATCAGCGAGTGCTGAAACATCTCGCCAAATTCGACCCTCACGGTTCTCTAAAGGCACCTGTGCTTACCCCAGCGCTGCAATTTTCAGAGTGGGGGGCCTCACAATGGATACCATCTCACGCGCCAACTCAACCGCAATCGAAGGCGGCACCTGAGCAAGGAACCCATTATCCTCAGGCAACTCCATTTCAACTATTGACTCTCGAGGGTCTAAATAATGATGTCCTTGCCATCGTCATTGACTTCATGTGGGAGTCGCAAACATCTGATGTCAAGTACTGGAGTGAAGGATATGGGTTGCAAAAGACGAGATTCGACTATCGCATGGAAGGGAGTTCCCTATTCTGCTTGTCACTCGTAAGCAAAAGGATGCGGGCAATCGCGATCCCCAAACTGTTCACACACGTTTCCCGCGATGCTTCTTCTATGGGAGACCTCAATCGTCGGTTGAGAGATATAGAAGGCAATCCGCTGATTCCATCACTTCCCGTGGTTCTCTCGGCCATCAAGTACGTGCGCATTGGGGTCCTACGGATATCATTCATCTTCCGGTGAGTATACTAATACCATGCACACAGGACCTGTGACATCGTCGCGACATCGCCAGGCAACAAGACATTCTGCAGGACTCGCCTTGCCAAAACTCTTCCCAAGATGGAGTCCCTCGCTGAGCTCTCTGTCACTCATCGAAAGGACGTCGACACATCCGGTCTTAGAGCCACGTTCCAACGCCATCAAATCACTCTCTCTAGCATTGTACGTCTGCGCATACTGTCACGTGGCAGTTGGTCATTCCTCGTGGAGGCTTGTCCAAATGTCGAAATACTAGCTCTGGAGTACAACCTCGACCAAGATAATATAATGCATGCCGCAGGGGCGTTGAAGCACCTTACGGACTTCGAGATCTGCCGCGACACGTGGCGCAAGAAAGATATAAAACGCTTGCTGCAGTTTTTGCCAGAGATTCAGAGTCTAGCCTTGCGAGGCACTCTTGGCCAGGAAAAACTGAGTGTAAGTACGACCGCGAGAGGTGCTGTCTCTCTTAGAGCGCTTTCAATATTGACTCGAACACAGACCTTCGCTGAAGTGTTTGGCTTGTTCCCAGAGCTGACCAAAATCGCGATTACTGCCATACAAGAGGTCACCGACGAAGATCTCGAGGGCGAATATTCTGATGACGGGTCAGGGTACGGTAGTATCTATGGGGAAATGATGTGGGAACATGAACTTGATGAAGATCAAAGCTCCGTCGCTATGAAGTTCTTCGAACATTGCCCTGTGCTCGAAACATTGTGTTTAGTACGCACTGGCTGTGTCAGGTCATGGTACCCAACGCGTGGAAGCAAAGGAAGTCTTGAGTCGGTCTACTCTCCACGGGATGGCTACAAATCCTGGCATCAATCCGACGAGCTGGAAATACGAGAACACGATAAAGAAGGGTTCCCCAAGCTGTTTAAGTTTCCTCGACCAACCAACTTTTGCAGCGAAGCCTGGGATCACCAGAGTAATTGGAGCGAGAGTAGTGAGTCCATGGAGTACTGGGGGAGTGAAGTCCTTCTGTACAGTCGAAAGAAGTCTAACATAGATTAGCGTAAAGAGCGAGATAGGTATTACACTATCAAGGATGAGGCTCTTCAACTGGGTCTGTGGGAAGGAGGCTCTAGGATGTATGATTTATACTAGCTCACGTACCATCGCTTTCATCGGCATACTGTACGTGCATTTTTCATTACTTAGTAGTCGATCGGAAGATACTTGTCAACTCGCACAAGGATATTTATAGATTATATGACACTGCAATGCTCGTGGCTACCCTACTCTCCTATCAAGGTGATTGTTAGCTTTTTTGCGTACCCACAGTCGTCTCACTCCATCTCCCCCTACAATACTGTGCACTTTTTCTTCGCCTTACACTCATCACACTCGCCGCCCTCTTCGTCTTGATATACCACCTCCAGGTTCTCTAAAAGGTCCGGGCATCGCGCACCTCTACGATTAGAATCCTGGCACCCATTCAACGTAGTGTCCTCATGTGTTGGCCACTATTTCGAAGTCAGTGTATGTCTTGTATGCATTTCGTATACCTCAGATCTTACCTCAGCGTATGGGTCTGATTGATTAGCATCCTCTTTGGCAGTTGGGCGTTGGCGGCCTGGTTTGTGGATAGGAGAAATATGGCCGCATGCGTACTTTGTAGGTCGGAGATAGCACATCTGTATTCACGGATGCTGTGGATTTGCAAGAGGTGGTAGGAGTAAAGTATTGGAGCTACAGCGATATCAATGAGTTGTGAGTCAAATGTGCGTGATCACCTGGGCAGTGTTCCTAATTGTTGATGGACCTGAGAAGTAAGAAGCGCTAAAACGAAGACCGGTGTGATATAGTGGCACAGTAGCGGAGAATTAGCGTGGCGTTCTAGTTAAGGTTTTCTTTGCGTGAATGGACATTGTTGCTCGGATCTCTTCACAGCCTCCGCACGGCGCCTCCGCTAGCGTGGCCGCAACGATGGTCATGACACATCACCAGCACAGTGTACACAATGGTAGAAATTCAAGAATGCTTACAAGACAGACTATGTGTATAACCGCGGTAACAATCAATGCCAAACGCCATATTGAAATCAACACAACGCTCGGCCAATCCGCCTCCGTAACCAAGTATAAAGTCGAATATATACACTTGAGATGAAGGTAAGGATATGCCAGCAAGCCAAGGCCTACTTGGCCAGTATCGGTGCTGCCTTACCGGCCTTTTCTGCCGCAATATTCGCCAGCTTCTGGAGCTTCTCGGCGCGTACTTGGCGGAAGTATCGGAATAGCAAGATGAAGGAAAGCTCGATGCGCTCCTTGGTCATCATGAGGAAACCCTGGACGAGCAGGCCCTTGAGGATCTGGGGCCCGATGCCCTTAAATAGCGCCGCCGGGCCTTCGTGTTGTATGATGTATTGCATGACTTCGGTGAAGGACTTGAAAGGCTTTCCGTTCCTGGCTGGTGGAGGTTTCGATTGAAGACCGACTTTCGCGACGATGAGCGGCTGGGTTGCGATTGTGGCAAGCGTCTTGGACATGGCTCCGATGACTGACAGATGTTAGTAGCTTTCCTTGAGTTATGGTAATGGCCATGGCTTACGGAACGCCTCGAGGGGCTTCAGCGTCTTCTTTCCTGGGTACATGACTTCCCGTAATCGCTGGTACGCTCCGTATGTGATTGATGGGTTGATGACGAGCACCAGACTCGCCCTGAGTCCTCGCCAAAGCCCTGTCCAGCCGTCATCACCGTTGACCACGTCCATAGCCGTAGCGATCATGCCCTTGCGCTCCGCCTTGCTCATGGTCTGTTGCCTCGTCGTTACGACTGCGACCGGGATTGTGAAAAGCTGGGCGAGCGCTCCCGCGAGCGCTCCAAGGGAGAGTTCGACCGGCGTGCTCGGTGACGTTTGAAGCGTGCGGTTCGCCATGTAGAGGCTGCGTACAACGGTATACCAGTAGAAATAAGCGAAGTTGGTCGATGCTACGCCGAGCAGAGAGCCTCCTATGCCGGCGTATAGTCCAGAAAGACCCTCCTGCGCAAAGACCTTCTGCAACGCGTCGATGGCGCCATCGTAGTGTTCGTGGTCGGCGGGATTGGGGTCGTTGGACGTAGGCGAGCGCTTAACCTGGACCTGTAGTCGCGTCTTGATCCTGAGGTTGTGTTAGTATCTTTGCGTTCTGCCCAGAAAGGCTCGGGGAATTTGCGACGTACAAATCTAGGGGGTAGACAAGGGTGTTTGCGATGACGGCACCAGCGGCGCCTGCGACAGCATTACCCCATGGTGGAAGAGTTTCTACCTTTGACTGGCCGGCCATAGTGGTAGTCGAGCACAGTTGCTAAGGCTTGGCGAAGTGTTGCGACTGCGGAGTGTGTGACGGGCGGAGGATATGGTGTGGAATCAGCGACTAATTCGGACTATCTCATCATGACAGTAATAATCTGAAGACTGGAGATAGCAGCATCGGAAGTTAGAAAAAGCGGGCAGGGGACGTTCATGGTGCCCGCAACGCGATAGCGCTGTCGCATGCATGGCTGACCTCTCCCGAGGTCCTAGAGGCCGAGGTTCAGGTTCGGATGACGACACACCCTGCTCCCTTGGACCTTCCTTCACCGCAGCCGCTGTCGATCACTTCGGTGAAAGTGAGCAAGCCGTGCCTGGCCGGATATGCCTCACACGTGGAAGGAGACGTCTAGATTCGTCACTTATGCGCTGGAACTGGCTGTTCCTGCTGGAACTGGCAGTCGCGACGGCCGTTTGGCAGGAACGTGCGTCGCGCTAGAGACTCCGCCCC